GCCCGCTAAGTGGGAGTCAATGTGAGCACGCATGGAGTTGGCATCCGCCCAACCTCGGGCGCGAGCGGGGTCACTACAAGGGCAACCAGACACAGGACAATAGACGCGAGGAGGGCTTGCAGCATCAACATCCATTGATGGGCTACGTTGCCGACGGCGGGGGGGCCTTTCGCCGCCGACGGGCGTGCCCGGAGCACCAGGGCCAGGATGAGCGGCTTCACCCACGCGACAGGCGCGAAGAGGCCAGCCCGTCCAGCGCTCCCGCGTGCGAGGTTGGGCTTGCCCCCACGTCCGTCGCTGTTGCTCGAAAAGGCGTCTTGATCGGCGGCGTGGGAAATGGGGCGCAGCAGGCTGCGAGCACCATATGCTATGCTGCAGTGGCAGCTTGCGAACATCACCACCCCAAACCACCTGAAGATGCAGAGTGAGGCGCCGCCGGGCTCGGCGGCCTATGCAAGGCGGCAAGTGCGGGGCTACCTGCGAGGGATGATGATGAGGGCGACCCCTGAGCAGTGGACGTTCCTGGAGGCAAAGGGCAGTACCCAAGATGAGGCAGCTGGCCCACCAGAGAAGAGCGCCAGGCGAGGGGGCCATGCTAACGCGCAGGCGAGGCAGGCAAGGACGTGCGGAAGTGGCGCAGGCGAGGCAAGGCAGAACTGAGGGATTGTTTATCCTGGGTTAGCCCTCGGACCCAAGCAGATGACGGCCGCGTGGAAATAGGCAGGGCCGGACAGTCTCCACCCCAGGGCACTGAGGGAGGTACCGGATGCCCGACACTATGGCGGCGCGAGGACACTTCCCTTAGGGGTACCGAGAAGGCACAGCTTAGGAGTTTGAAGGTGTGTTTCGAAGGCATTACTATTCCGAGGAATCACGCGAACAACCGGCTTAGTAGCTTCGGTTTGGCCTTGGCCCAGAAAAATGAAACAGTGGCATGCCTGGCATTTCGTTACATGGGAGGGTTTGGGGTTTTTGCACGCTCGGAAAAACATATCTCAAAAAGTGTGATTTTGGGAGTAGCAAAGTCCGTGTGTTGAAGAAGTGGTAATGGCAGTCGCTGCGCCGTCCCGGTGGCGTTAGCGGGTTGGCAGCCAGCCGCATAGGCATGCGTGCAGATAGACATGCACTGGCAGCTGCGAGAAAGGAGCATAGGTTGCGAGGACTGGCGGACAGTCTTCACACAACTCATCCAAAGGTACGCTCTGCTTCTTCTCCAGTATCTTCCTCAGCGAGGCAAGCCATCATGCAGCCCAAATGCCATGTTGAAACTGGGCCCGGCGAGCCAGTCAGTAGGTGTCAATATCCAAGCTTCTGGTACTTGTCCTCCTTGTTGTGCGCCTCCATGCAGCTAACTCGCCAAAACAGGAGCTGCCGTTTCCATACCAAAAAAACAAATGACCTCCTTCTAATGAGCACCACCAGGCACCACTGCTTTATTGTTGTATTACTGTTCTACATTACGATATTACGATAAAACGATATTTCCATATTGCTATATTACTATGCTACTATGTTCCTATAGTATCGTATCATTCTATTATTACATGATTATGGTGCAGCTTGCCTGCAAGCCCTGCCAAGGCAGCAGCCCCCGGCTGAAGTAGAGGAAGATGTAGCCCAGGGCCTGGCAGCGACTAGCGAGTGGAAGATCAGGATGTAATTTGAGTTTTACATGGGTACATAACGGTACATAATTCATGCGACGGGGGTCCGAGCCCATCACAGCCTGGACTTGCCTGCCCCTGGGATAGTCGGAATGCCCTGTCAGAATTCCATAGGATCCCTTCCAGAGGTTTGTTGCTGGTGTTGGCTCTGTTTGCGCGGGATTGTTCCGTGATCCTCTTGTTGCATGTCGGAGCAGGTGCACCCGGTGAGGAACGCAGGCAGGCATATGACAGGCGATAGTTTTGCTTGCTGGTTCTTTTCTGTGCGTGTTGTCTTCATGTACCTCTCGGTCTGCAGCTCGCATTTGCTCGACAATGGCCACGATATTCGCAGGGCAGTAATGCTGTTGCATGCGCTTCCGCGATGCTGTTCCCGGGACTATTCCATACTGTTCCTACCTCTGTGCAGCACATCGATCTGCAAGCGTGATGCTAGCCTCGCCGGCTGTTTTTGTCAACAGTCTGCGGTGGCGGCAGCAGCAGCAGCAGCAGCAGCAATGGCCAACACCTAACTCCTCGTCCACGGCTTCCGCTACTTGCAAATGCATTATCGCGAGGTTGTTTTGGAGTTTGTGGTTTACTTAGCGTTTTTCAATTTTCTATATCCTGAACCCCATTTGAAGTAACACAAAGACCATCATGATTGTGGCTCCTCCGTTCCATGTCCCCTTGCAAGACGTCCGGATCCCTCTTTGGACGAGAGTGCTTTCACCTCTGAAAAAACCTTTGGCCGTACACTATTCTATTCCGTGGCTTAGGATGTGCGCGTCGAGGTTTAGGTTTAGGGTGCACAAGGTTTGCAGTTCTGGATTCGGCGGAAGATTTCAAGCTGTGTGTGCTGGAGCTTTGGGCTTTTGGGGTCGCGGCGTTTTAGGCCTAGGGTGGTTTATGGTTTGAGATGTTTGGGAATTCCGGGTTTCGCGTGCAAAGGTTTGCAGAAGGTTTTGGGCGGGGGTTTAGTGTTCTTGGCGTTCCAAGGGCTTAAACGTGTTGGAGCTCCCAGGTCTGCACTCAAAGGAATTTTTCTTGTCAAGGGGCCAGTAAGATTTGCGCTCAGGGATCTCAGGTCACGAGCCTTTTTTGCAAGCCTTGAGAAGCTTCTGGCTTTTGAGTCTATTGGCTCTGAAAAATGGCTGTTTTTATTGAACAAGCCTTCAGGTGCCATGGAGCGTGGGCGTGAACTTCGCTGCTCGAAAATTCAGAACCAGGATTACAAACAGCTGCGCCATCTGGATGAATGACTAAGGTTCCCCAGGAAAAAAAACACAAGCCGTCCATCAGGCTGACGCCAGCAAACAAATACGACACAAGCGTTTTGCTGTTATCGTGCTTGTGGGTACGGCTTGTTATTTGGTTAGCGCTGTTTCGAGGGCAAATGAACAAAACACGGCACACTGGCAATAAGAAAGCGGCGCGAGCGAACCGCAGCCTATCCTGAGAGGCAAGAGGTTCCGTTGCCCAAAACCCGCCTCCATGTCATCCCGACGGCTTTGCTCGGCTCCCTTGTGGGCATTCACTGACGCCTAAGCAGGCAGAGCAAGATCTTCCGGAACAATATTCACTACTGCGACGGTTCTTACACAGCTATTAGTGGTCTGCTTCAATGCTGCAGCCACCCCTATGGGCACTACTACCATAATTGTCGACAGATATCATCAGTATCTGCCGAAGCATCGGGAAAAACAGAATGGCGAGTAGCTTGGCCTACTAGCCTACGTAGAAACCAACCCCCGCACCAGACGAGGTCAAGAAGACCAGGTTGATTGCTTTGAAGACCAGCACTGTCAACAACACAGCCGCAGACATATCGCGCAGTCCCTGTCAGACTTTTCCGCTGACCTGAGCTGCAGGGTTGCTCTTGGCTCTTGAAGTGCCTCACGGAAGGGAGCAGTGCATTGAGCTGGGAAGCTGAAGGGAATGTGCTGCCGCTTGGAGTTTCGATATCGCTTTGCCAAGCCAAAGTCAATGATGTGAACCTGAAGCTGTTTTTACGAAACGCGGCTGCCCCTTAAAACACATTGAAAAACTGCCAATTTCAGCTGGGACACCACATTGCACTTCTTGCCTGCTCCAACGAGAAAGTTGTCCGGCTTCAAATCTCTGTGAACAAAGTCCTGCCATCCCGAATCTCTCACGTTGGGGCGCTATCCCTTAATAATGGAGAATCAAATGAAAATTTGACCTGGACGCAGCTTGAGCGTGCTCTGAGCATGGCGGTCACCTTCGCTCTGTCTATGGGTGAGAAGCTTGATACCTTGCCACTATCTTGCCCAAAACAAAGAAACGCGCCAATAAGAAGAAACAAGAAAAGGAACAAAACAGATACAGCACAAAATGATGCAACACTCTGAAAACCTATTCTGCTAACCTCAGCAAGCTGCATTGAGCCGTAGTGGCTAATCAAGTGGAAAAGAAAATAGAAATTAAATGGAGACATTTATATACATATATATATATAGGGCCGGGTTATATGATTATATAGGATTTATATATATATATACGGCTGTGCATCTAGAATCCAGGACCCTCTCCTTTGAGTGCAAATACTGAACTCGTGAGATCATCTGATCAGCCAGCGTCAAGACCGTCTTCACCTGAGTTGCTGTGAAGGAAGTTAATTTCAGTTACTACATTGGGGAAATCAAATTAACTACTATGTATACCAGTATGGTAACTTCATTTGGGTTCCTTAGCAGCAGCCCAGTCACGGTGAATGTCCGCCGACAAGAGTTGAAGAGGTCCTGTCCCGAGGATCAAAATATGTCAAAAGTATTGTTATCATTCTTATTAACATTGTTATTGTTATTGTTATTAACATTGGTAATGTTATTGTTACTAATATTTACTAATTAACATTGTTACTGCTATTATTATTAACATTGTTACTGTTATTGTTATTATCATTACAGGGATTTTAGTCCCTCCTCGCCTGCTAAGAACTATAGTAGTTAAGGCATATTAATGAACAGCTGAGCTGACTGCCTCGAGAGACGGGCCAAGCAGGTCCATCACCATGATGTTGAAAGCACCTGACACTTGAGCAAAAATGGCCGAATGCCTTGAAGGAACACCAGCGTTGTTCTACCAGGGTATATTGGGGTTATATAGGGATTATATTGGATAATGGAAAATAGAATGGAAACTACAACCCTAAACCCTAAACCCTACTACTATATTATAATAGACTTTCTTCAGCCGGCCTTCCTTCCCGGAAAAATAGACGTTCGCAATGCCCTCGCCCCCCTCCAAATGCTTCAGAAGCTTGGCTTCATATGGAAGCATCTGGTGCAAGCCTGGCAGAAGGAAATCAAGAAGAGGCAAGAATGCTGCACACTGGACATTGCCCTATATAACCCCTATTATAACAACCCAGATTATAATATAGTAGTAGTTTCCATTCTATTTTCCATTATCCCAGTATAACCCCTATATAACCCCTATATACCCTGTTTCCCACGGCCAAAAGAGCCAAGCTGCCGCTTTGATCCTCCAGTTTCACCGCAACCTCCTGTCCGTTCTGCGTGTTTAGTGCAAAGTAGACCTTCCCGAAAGAGCCGCTTCCTGCCAGGAACACAGAAAGAGTTACGTGGGCCCATACTTGTTGCACTGCATGTGACCGCTTGACGACCATCAAAGAACATCGAAGATGCATCGGCAAAGGCTTTTGCTGGCCTATCTTTCGTCCGAGGGTGAAGACGGAGCCGACTTTCTCCAGTGGCTGGGAAGACTCCTTTCAATTGCACGCATAGGATCGAAAAATTGGCAAAACCAAACCATAGTGCGTCACTGCATAGCAGTTGCAGTGACACCACCACTTGCAGCACAGGCTCGTTACTTTGCAAACTGCCGTCCATGTGGCTTCAACGGTGTCATCGAAGGGCTCCTGCAACCACCTGGACAAGAGGTGAAGATTTTTGCCCACAGGTATTCCACACTCCTTCCCTATACTAAACCCTAAACCCCATTACAGTAGTTTAAATTGTCTTTTCCATTATCCCTATTCAACCCTTAGATGTCCCCATCGCTTGCGGGGTGCGGCAGCCTGGAGTCGCACACTGGCGGAACCCGCAGCCCAGCACATGGAGCTGCCGTCTACTGCCGTCGAATCCATGAGCAAAGCGGCTGCAAATTGAAAGCACAGATCTTACCAGAGTAGCACCTTACCATCCAATTGTCATCGCTTCATCTCAAGACCTAGTAAACTTACATGATTTAATAAAGTTTCTGCGCACAGCCACTAGAGCGCTTCAACCTTAAGGCCGTTAGCTGCGAGAGAATGCACTCTCATCGGAGATCGAGAGGCTTCAATACCAACGGTTCCCGTCTGAACCATGTGCAGGATAGCTCAGGCTAGCCTCAAGGTCAAGGTCGCTCCTTAGCCAAGTCAGTTGGGAGATGTTGGGAACTTTCGGACAACGAAGCTCAGGAACAAGCTCTCTGTGAAGATCGTCAAGCAGCCTCTGGCTGGAAAAGCACTGCTTGTTACAACAGAACCGAAGATCACGATGGCTTCCTCATGAATGTCTGACGCCCAGCTTTGCAGCTCTCAGGACAGGACGCAACCAGAATCCAAACTATTTCCTGACACATCCTAACTGCTCAGCAAGTGGCTCAGCAGGGGCGCCACCGGCAGCTTCAGGAACAGATCCTGCAAAGCAAAGCACATGAAGAATCGCCATCTGGTTACGGGGCCCTCGTCAGAAGCCTCACCGCTGGGAGAATGGAATGCGTACCTTCCCAGAAGTAAGAAGAACACACCGGCCCAACTGATGCCAGCAGCGGCCGCCACAGAATGCAAAGCTGACTGTACTGCATTTCTTCATTGCTTGACGCGCATTTTGCTGATAAGAGACCGCTGGAACCAGCATGTCTGCGCTGGCTCCTATACAGCCCGCAACAGCCGCAGGAAAAGAAGCAGGGGGACTCTACACATACATTGTAATCATGACGCTGAGGATTGCAAAGTGGCAGTGAGTCTTAGAAGGGCTGTTGCAGGCACGTGGCTTGCAACGTGGCTCGCAACGCGGCTACGCGGCCAAACGCGGCCGCTCAGTATTGGTGTTGACAATGACAAAAATGACAAAGGACCACAGCAAAGCTCAGCGTCGGCGTCGTGATCTGGACCGGGAATCTCGACGGCCTCCACCGCCTTCCGCAGGCTTGCGTGTACCGCACTTGAAGCACTCCGTCCTCCTGGCGAAGTTGTTTGCTCCACATGATGGACATTTCCAATCGCCAGGCCTTGGCTCTTTACCGCCACCTTTGCCGCCCTTGTCGCCAAAATCTCCCTTGCCACCTCCTCCCATCGCTCCTCGGTCCTCTCTCAATTCTCCGCGGGCTGCTTTCTTGCGCCGCTCGCGCAACCAATCTGGAGTGCCGCTCTCTGAGCTTTTGCTCCGATCTCTTGGCTTCTTCTCAGCGCCATTGTCGCCCATGATTTGATGATCCTACTCCCCTCGAGCCACATGTGCAGCTGCGGGCGTCTCTCTTCAACAAGCGCTAGCCGGAACCATCACATTGACTGACTGCAACAGTGTAGCCTGATCTTCAAGAGCAGGGTCACTGCAAGAATGCATCTTTGAAGATCCAACCCAACACAGCCACGTCCTGTCATTGCATGCGGGGGTGAGAAATACATGCTTTCGCATGCGTGACCACAACTCGCACAGCATAGCCAGCACAAATGCTTGGTCCTTCCCAATGCTGTGAGCAGTGAACTTCAAGCCGTTGCCGCTTGCCTGCAAGCGATTCGAAAGCTTGCAGCATGCCCACACGTCCCAAAGTTCTCGGATGCAAGCAGCACCTCGCAAATCACGCTCTGGTTTTTCTGCTCCTGCTGGTGCGGTGTTTCTGTAGCACATGGCGACCTGAACCTGTTTGAGGAGTCCTTCTCGCGCAATGTCAAAGCTGCCAGCAAAGTCGCCAAATCCTTGCGCTGCACCAAAACGCACAACAGCCCCCGCCGCTCCTCAATGCCATAGGGCCATGTGATGCTGCTGGGACTCGCTAGCGTTTTCAAGCTGACACTCGACGGATCCACCTGGGCAATACGAGAGATGGACATGCCGTGATGTGAAATAAACTCGGCTGCCTGGCATGTCGCGCAATAGCAAATTGCAACCGCAGCATGGCAAAACTAAGCAAACATGAACTTGCAACTCGCCAGTGCAATCCAACAAATTCCAACTTTAGTTGTGCATTGCACTGCGCACACTGGCGCAATTGCTGTTGTAGTGCGTGCCATGTGTTTCATGCATGGGCTTTCAAATCAGCCAAATGGCCTTCACATAACAGTTTGCAACACGGATCACCCTACAAAACGCAAAACCGGCCTGGCACAAATTTGCAAAGAAGACGCTACACTGCGTTTGCACCCCGGACTCCCCCGAACACATGACGGACCGTGATTGCGTGACATGCTGGAAGCCAATAATGGAAGCTTGCACGAGATAAAACAGAAATCATCAAAAAGTGTTTCTTCTTCCCGTGGCTCTGTTGGCCCAGTGCTTGACCCTTGCTTCCTGCCATGCAGATTCTGGGCGCCGCATTTTGGCAAAGGAGACCAACCCTGACATGTACCCAGAGAAACCGAAGCCGCAGAGGAGCACGACCCCCGTCGCCCTTGCGTTTGGGGCTTGGGGTTCAGCATTTGTGTTGGGAGTTCAGAGCGTCGAATGTGTGGTTTGGTGTAGAAAGTTTGGCGCCTGAGTCTGAGGATTTGTGGCTTGGATTGGAGGTGAGAAATTGAGGCGTGGGGGTTCCGAACTCCAGTTTCCATCACGGGTCGCCCAGGCAAGCGTGGTTGGTGATAATCCTGGCGGCCAACTTACACATTCGATAACTGCAAGCACCATCGCGCAACAGCCCCCAGATTTGCTTCAGTGCTTGAGGCATAAAGTTCCGCAACCAACGAAGGTGAGCATTCGGCGAACGTTCTTCGGGGCGATGGCTGAAACTGGAACCCTCCTGGTCCAAGTCGCACCTCGAAACAAACCGCAAGGCGCTGACTCACCCAGACGTGTTGTCCAGATGAGCTCTTGGACAGAAGGGCGCACAAACTTTGGGCCAGCTGCCCTCCTCCAGGAAATAGCTGCCAGCAAGCTGGAGAGCCAAGTAACTGGTCAATCAACTCAAGAAGGGCAGCTGCCGTGCAGGAAGACGTGCTTAGCCATCACCCTGGACCCACTGGAGAAATCTTTCTAGGCATGCTTTGCGAATCCAAAATTTGTTCGACTGTGTTCGACTGCACGGACCTACCACTTGCTGCTCGAAGATCTCCTCAGGGTATGCGGCCCCTGCTTTGCAGAGGGCCAGCAGTGCAGAAGGAAGTCTCACTCTGCGCTGGAGTCAGCTTGCAGACCTACGCCCGCGACCTGGCAGGGGCTTCCACTGGCCCAAGTTGCAGTGCACCAAACACAAGAAGTCACAGGCCTCCGGGGACCCATCGCCTGCTAGACTGTGGAAAACTGGACGCATGGGTTGCCACGTTCTTCGCAGGCCACACCTGCGGAGACTCGGCATGAGATCTGAAAGCTCCAAGCCACCCGGAATGCCCTCCCGTGACCAGCGCCTTGTCGTCCCATCCAGAATAATACCCAGCCTGGGCACGCGTCTCTGCAACTCTCAAAACCTTGCCGTGCCTCCAGGCCAAGACCCAAGCAGCTTTCCCCTTGCCGCCCTTGCCGCCTTTACCATTCGCGCTGTCTCCGCGCTTTCCCTTGCCACCTTTTCCGGTCGAAGAACGCTCATGAGAAGCAGGTGCACTTCACCCTGTCTGGCCTTTGGCGGGCTTCTGTCCTTTGGGTCCACCTCGCCGCTACTGGTGAAAGAGGTCATGAGCAAGCATGAGACCATGCACTGAAAGCCGGAACGCAACCAACCAACGAGGCCAGCAACGTGCCAGCATATGCCAGCAAGCGTGAAAGCTTCCACCACCACCAAAAGGGCTTTGCCCGCCAAACCCCGGTTGAAGAGCTTTAGACGCCAAAAGGCGTAGTGCTGCTACAGCGGGCCTGAGCCTATGGATTTCCGTCAAACCGCAAACCCCAGGTTACAGCCCCTTCCCGTCCTTGCGGACTGGTCCAAGCGCGGGAAGAGGCGCTGAGGCGTGGGACCCACTCCTGAATGTTTCTGTCAGCTGAATGTTTCTGTCAGCTTCGCAACGGCTGTAAATGGCTGAGATGTACAGAATTTGGGATAGCTTGCCGCAGCTCTGCCAGCCCACCCAGGAGGCAGGGGCGATGGACGTGCCCAGAAGTCCACGTTCCCAACCCCAAACGATAGCTTCGCACAACACAAGAGGAATAGACCCCTTCCCAAAAGTTGACGACCCCCCTTCCGAAACAGAAGTCCAAAGGAACAAGGCACCTTTTGCTCGCCACCGCCCTTCTGCCCGTTCCACGCGCTGGCCTCAAGCAACTTTGCGCGCCTTGTCAACTGCTACACTAGCTCCTCCGGCTTTGCAATAAAAATCAAGGATATCAAACGATGGTTCTGATAACACTCCTGGTGTGCAATTCCAAGCGGATTCTTGGCTTTAGCCTGGAGAGTTTGTTCTGTGCCTTTCCGGGGCTCTCTCTGACCACAGAAAGCCAAGCACTTCGGCCTCCAGATATCAGGCACCATTTCGAATCAAAAAGCCCTGGTCCCCAACTCACTCCAAGTGCCAAAATTTTGAGATCCCAACTTCCAAGCACCGCAAAGCAAATTTGGGGAACAAGAAAGACACTGCACACGCTAGTTAGTCCGGATTCTTGACTGTCCCTGCCATCCGAACCCTGCGACGGACAAGGCACCTTGTCTTTGCGGCCACCCTTCTGTTCATTCCAAGTGCTTGCCTCAGACAATTACTACCACCCGCTACCACCAATGCTTTTGCTTTTGCTGCTTCTATCATGTAGCCTCATAGACACATCAATTATATTGTTATGCTGCTACTACTACTACTACTTCTTCTACTACTACTACTACCACCACCACCACTACTAATCCTCTGCTGCTGTTGCTTATTATTAAGTTGCAAGCACTACTACAAGCAGGCAAAACAAAAGCATCGCAAATTGAGGAGCCAACCTGATGGTGAGCAAATACTGCGGAGGGCTCCGGTATCTTCGCTGCCTTTTGGTCTCCAAGATCTCTCACTTGGCAAGCAAAAGCAATTCTGCGTTGATCTGCACGTCTACATCCTGCTGACATGTTAGCTTGCCGGGCGCTCTTGCTGCTCAACAAAACGGATCTCGGGGCCCTTGCGTGAACCCTAGAATCTTGGGGGATTTCGGGGGCCGATTGTCCGCAAACAGACCCAGCCGTGCAACACGACACGCCCAGTCAAGCTGAGAATGGTCTGCATCTCAAACAATGCATGCACCACAAGTCTGAGCCACTCAGGCATGCCTCGTTGCGAAGCTTTGGGGATTCCGTACGCTTTGGCATGCCATCTCCCCACAAAGGCTGTGGGATTGTCGGCCTGGCAGTCAAGCGCAGTACCTCCTTGAGCCAGCCCCTTAGAAACCGAGGCTCGTGCAGATATCGAGGCTCCGATGGCGGCGGAGCGGGAGGCACCGCTAGGGATGCTTGGGTCTTCATGATCCTCAGCAGCTCGCTCGTGTTCAGCTGCTACGCTGCTATACATCACCCGGAAGGGGTATGAACTGGCAGGATTCCGTGCGCGATAGCAAACTACTCCACAAAACAACCGGAAGAGCTGGGCCGTCAGCTGCCACATCTGCGTCCGTGAGTTAAGCAGCGTGGGAAGCGCTGCCGGCTGCGTGACTCTGCACGCCACTGCACGCCCAGTGCGACGTGGACATCCCCAAATATGTTTGTTTCTTGAGTCTTTGCTCATCCTGCCGCCGTTTGTAATCCTTTCTCAAAGCCATAAAAGCCCAACTTACTTCCATCAGCTTGACATGCAGCATCATGCAACTGACCCTGACACACTATCTTCAACCCAAAGTTTCATCAACCTTCGGCCCCATAGCCCGTGCAAATGTCAACGGCAAACCAAAAAAAGGCTGCATACAGCATTGCGAAGCTCCAGCTGAGCCATGGTGCAGCGGCGGAGGAGGTGGCGGCACTGGCAGCACATTGGACACCTGGATCTGGTAGCTTCTCCATCAGCCAGATGCGTCAGCCACCGTTGCTGACAAAGTTGAATCTCAAGCCATGAAGTTCGCAGGCATCATTGGCTGCAGCGTTGGGAAGCCAAAAAAGCCTGACGTCAGCTGAGCTTTCAGATGCTGATAGCCCTCGCTGGTCTGTGACATGACTGGAACAGAAGTACGGCAGCATCACATCGGCGTTCTCACAAAGACGCGTCTCAAGGCAGCGGTCTTCACCATAGCCCTCCAAACCCGGACGTCTTTGATGGGTCATCTGAAGAATGTCTACAAAACCTTCACTCCCCAGGCACCTTTACGATCCTGCGTATTTCAATCATCCATGCCAAATCTAATGCCTTCGCCATGCATCTGTTGCTGAATAAATGAGGTGCCCGACCACCACTCTGCCTGTTCTGTTCTCAGGAAGCACGCCCCACTTCGCCTAGTGAGAACCCCACGTACACTCGAAAGAAGGCGCCTCCGCCGCCTGCGGAAGGAAGACCATGGCATTGGGATTCATGGTCGTGCCTGCCGGCCATCAAGAACACCACTCCCGAGAACTCTTTGCTCGGAATCAAGGTTCGTGATCCTGCATCGTTTTCACAGCTCTGCAAGTCCAGGGGGCAGCTCCAGTTGCCAGCCTGGTGGCGAATCTGGGGTCGGTGGCCAGACCGGCATGTCTCCAGCCTACACGGCGCACGCTCACTGCCCATCGCGGATAAAATTAGCAAAAGCTGGACGCCGTGAAGCTTATAATGATTCCCGCCTTTTGTTGCAGCGCTTTCCAACTGTGACTCAAAATTCCCGTGGTCCCAAAGGAATCGGGCAAGATGCTGTGGTGCGCGGTGTTACTCGATGACATAAGGATTTACGCATGTCAGTCAAAAACAGCGCAGCCTCGCCATCGTCAAGATCAAGGAGCAGGTCTGAGCATTTGCAGCGCTCCTTCGCTGCAGAAAAAAGTTGACAAAGACCCGAAGACCACCCAACACTTGCAGTTGCTCCTTGAGGCCTGCCATATGTACCAGGCCTGCAGCGCAAAATTTACGATTTTCGTGCCGCAGGCATAAGCCAAACACGACAAGAGACTAAAGCAGGAATGGCCCCAGCACCGCAAGAGAGTGCACGGACTACAGACACAGAATGATGCAGAGCACATGGGGCGACGAGAACTACTTCAGCCCTACCACCTCGTTGCCTTGCAGCCCCAGCCACGCGGCCTTCTTTTGTATGGTCGACCCACTCTAAATAGTCCACACCCCACAGTTCTTTCCCAACAGCTTCGAGCATGGGACGGTGTTTGACAGGACTGCGTGCACGTGTATGGGCAGGCCAACGACCACGCAAGCTACCACACAAGAAGATACGAGATTCTTGTCAACAGGTTCCAAGCATCTAGCGCCTCCTCTAAGGCGCTCTCGGAAGTATGGAATTGGGCCTGAATTACTGTCTTACTGTAACATTCCGCCAACATGCTCCTAGGAAAAAAATCCCAGGAGGGGAAGAACAATCGAATGATTAACTTTGGGTGCCAAGGAACTACTACATCAAGCAATGAAAAAATCTCGGGGTCCCTCAGCCTGTATCAGCAAGCAACAGGTCTGCAGAGCAGGCACTCTGGAATAAAGGGGAGAAACTGCCCAACCATCGCCGTTCGCTAGAACGAGCCGGCAAGGCTGCATAACCCAGTTGCATTTATTCCGAACCCCGCCCAAGGAATCTGGAGTGCCTTTTTTCGAGAGGCTGCGGAGCACTGCCATCCGTTTGGATGGGATCAGGCTGTGCCAAGCATCACGCATTTCATCTTGAGCGGGATCTCAAAGATGCTGGATTTCTATCCAGAATCTCAGAAACCATCGTGACATCTCTTGCGGCTGCTGCAGGCGTCAGTATGGCTTAGGTTGAAAGTTCAGCACCTCGGACCAGCTGGTCTTCAGCTGCTCAGCGAGCTTGTCCTTAGAGAGCTCACCCCAGCAGACCCGCTCCATCTTCCGGCCTCAGGATGTCACGAGCAGCCTCAAACCGCACGTTTGCAGGTCGGAATATAGGGAATATGTGGGGGTGTACTATAAGTAGGGCTATCTAGGGACTATATGGGGGTAATATAGGGGTAACGTAGTAGTCACTGGTCTTCTTACCCTCGACGATTGGGCCCGAGTGCACCGAGTGGGGGCCGGGCGCCATCTCGCTTGGGAATGCAGATTGCAACAGCTTTGCCTTGCTGCAGGCCGCAAGACGATGTGGGAAGGAGAGCCCAGACTCCCACTCCACACAAACATACGCCAGCAGTAGCAAAACGAATCTTGCCTGCTTGAGTTGCAGCATCCACTCGTTGAGTCCTGGGCTGGCATCAAAAGTTGGACCCACTTTCAGAGGAGCCACTAGAGATCCCTGTGCCAATCAGGCATAGCCCATCTGTTTGGAAGGATCCTCGCGGTTCCTGCAGATGGTTCTGCACTTGCATAGCTAAGCAGTCCAGGGCAAATCCCGAGCAAGGGTTTTGACACTTGCATTGCAGGGACGGCACAGCAAGGTTCGAACGCGGCAAAGTCTGACTGAAAGCAGTTGAGAAGCAGGCCTACGGCCTACAAGGCCTACGATCAACTACAACACGGCGAATCTTCTATACCCAAAGTCAAACCCCCCTCTGGATTAAGGGTTTAGGACCTGAGGCTTTGTGTGAGTCTGGCTTGGTTTTCACTACCCGCGTAAGCTTAGCTTCGACCTTGGACCGTGATCAAGGCGCAAGGAGCAAGCCTTGCTACAAAACATTAGCAAGGAACCGGATGTGCACAATACAACTAGTTACCAGCCCTGGATGCAGCAGCAGCAGCAGCAGCAGCTGCACCTATCGTCGGCAGACTGGCCGCCAGCCATGTAGGTACTTTAACAACAGAGATGATTCTGGCAGCGGGGGACGCAGCTGGGCGTTGTGCGGCGACAAGAAGATTGTGTTGCCGATCGAAGCTTCATCTACAAGCGGAGCATCCAAACGCTTCTCAGCAAGCGGCTTGCAAGTTTTCGTTGCCATCCAATCGACTGACAAGCGATTGCATTCAGCCCTCAGGCTGCTGCGATGTTGGAGTGTTCTCGGGGTTGGCACTTTCTGCCTGGGCACTCCAGTTGGACTCCAGTTTGTGATCTACAGAAGTTCTGGACCACTAACGTTTGCCTCTAGCAAGTCCTCACCGAGCTCACTGCGGTAGAGTCTGCCGTCGCTGTCTGTGAAGGCTGGCTGTTCACCACATAGCCTACCCAGCAGGTGCGTCTACAACGATTGCTGACACGTATTTGCTCTCATCAAGCATTTCACAAGCAGGCACAGAATGCCGATATAGAATATTGCAGAGGAACTGGAACGGAAGGCTTGACAAGCATCCGCTTTGCGCGGACCGTGTTCTAAACGCCAAAGCGCATTCAGAAAGTCCACTTGTGGAAGCTGCGCAGAAATGAGCAGATGTGACCAGGCCACCACTGCTTGCTTCTCAGAACTCTGAGAGACACAACCTTAAAACCTTGCCCTTTGCATAAGCCAGGCTTCCAAATGCCAACCTGCTCACACAGCAATCTGCGGCCACAAATGGCCATGCTCAAGTCTAGACCGGAAATTCTTCACCCACAAGGGGGACGGGCGGGGGGGGTGTGGCTTTCCAACTGAGCCACTACCTGAAAAGCGGATGAAGAGACAGCAACAAACTTTGAAGACAGAGACGACAAGAAACCAAAAACTGTCCAAATGAGCGAAAGCTAGGGCTTACCACTGAAGTTTTGGGTACTTCTCGGAAGCACTAGCCAGTATCGACAACAATTATGTCCCATACACATCTACTGCACATCAAGCCCACCGGTAAGTCCGGACTGAAGCATGCCAAAAAGGACCATGCAAGGGGAACCCCTTTTTATCAGAGGCTCATAGACGCCTTGACTGATAGAATATGGGGCATATGGGGATCTTGTTGCGATGTTAGGCAATTCCATATTCATCTACTTAAGGGTGAGTACAGAGGGAGCTGATAGTTTTGAGAAACCACTTTCGAGCCTGCAACACAGCACACTAGCCCTTGCATCCACCTCTTGTTGTGCGAGGCGTCGGGTCTGACTCGTACCTTTGCATGATGCACCAAGGAAACGTTATATTACCCTCACACTGGTTCTTCTGCAGAAGGAATGGCACAACTGCTGATACTTAACATCCTGCATGACCTTAGAATGCAACAGTGCCATAATTCCCAAGGTATGAAGTACTTGAGGTCATGCAAAAAAACTAGTATCCACTATGCCCTGAGTAATCCAGAAGCATATTGGAGACACGTGTGCTCGCTGCTAGACATTCAGTACCACAAGAGCATAGGCCGCCTTGCTGATGGATTGAAGGGGGGCTTGCTCGGCCTCACTGCTACGCAGAACAGCGCATGCAAGTTGGTACAGGCATGTGCTATCTGCTGTGGACGTTGCGAGTCGCGCCAAGCCCCGCCCATGAGCCAGTCTGTCCTGCCATCATGTTCAACTCCCACGGCAACTCCCACGGCTGTGAACAAACCTTCTTCCAGTGCAAGCCTTTGGTGGTACTTCTTGGCAATGAAGGGCGAAAAGGGCGCACGAACTCGCTTGGGGAGCGTCTGCAGCAGACAGTAGCACATCTCAAAATTATCTCGGTTGATCATAACAAGCCAAGGAAAGCTAGCAGAGGGAAGGTGCAATTCAGATTCACAAGATGCTGAAGGGGGCAGGCTACGTACTACCACAACAACTCACAGCAAAAGTCCTCGTGCACCGGTAACCCGGCATCTACTTGGTAGGGAACACTGCGGCGCAAGATGCACAGCAAGCCTTTGAGTCGTCCCATTCTGGCATGTTGGGCCTGAACAGAATGCACTGGACAAACCCAACTCTGGCTGAGGATGCTGTGGTGTCATAAGAACTGATTCTACTTCAAGCAGCGGCTTCAGTGCGTCGCTGGTGCATGATTCACGAAGCACTGCGCGCTCTTTCTAAGAATCGGGATGTCGGCTGTGTCCCTTTAGCTTTGGCGCATGAGCGCACTATCAGCCGCTATGCAGCTGGGGAGAACTTTGAAGCTTTTCATCCAGTGCCAGATTTGCTCCTTCGCTCCATCAAAAACTTTCGAGACGATCGTAGTGAGATCATCGTCGAGCCTCTTCCAGGGCCTTGCGCATACGGTCCACTGCATCCTGGTCCTCAGCCAAATTGGCCTCCTGCTGCTTTGCCCAGCCGCTCAGCGACTCCTTGACGTCGGCCCCAGCCTGTTCATACCTTGGATGCATTACATGGGTTGGTCATCATTTTCCAGATCAGAGAGGGTATCATGGTGGATGCAGCTACGGCCATGCTCTAGAACAAATGGTCCAAAGGTGCTCCTTGTTCCACTCATCGAAAGCCTTCTCGGCCTCCTTCACTGTCTCATAGACGCCCAGTAGGTATTTGTTGCCGAAGGAGTCAATAGCCTGTCGAGGCATCGCTTAAGTCTAGTCGGCAAGAAATGGTGACTGTGCGGCCTCGGACTTGTAAAGCTTCTCTGCGGTGCCCCAGTTGTGCTTGAACCTGGGGACTGGGTACTTACAAAGAGTTCTCCGGAATACGCAGCTCTTGCGAACTGCCGCACCCCAAACAGGCATTGGCAAGGCTGCTGAGGCCAGAACTCTCCCTCCAAGACCGCCGGGATCTTGGCCAGGTCAGCCAGCATCTCCTCATCCAACGGCGGCAGCGGTGCGTCCGAGTACTTGGGCATCACCTTGAAGATCTCCTTCACAACATCTGCCTGACAGAGCCACGCCCAGCCCACAAGCTGGTCAAAGCAGCTGACATCGCCTCCACCACCCTACTCAAAAAAACCTGCAGAACTAAGATAAGGTGGCATCACTTTCCGGCCTTCGTCTTTCCAGACGCGGACTTCTGGGAGCGGAAGAAGGCCTTCAGGTTCTCGACCTTCTTCTCGTTCGCCTCCCTGGCCTCCCAGTAGGGTGGCAAGAGCTCACCCGCCAGCTTCAGGAGCTCCTCCGGCGCGGTCCTGGTCTTGAACTCCTTGGTCTCGCTCTCTGAATGGTTTGCCCCAAACTCTGCGATCTCCTGGCACAAGCCCCAAGGCTAAGATGTCAAACTAGGTTTGAGTGCAGGGGATGAGCCCAGCGGAGCCTTGACTACCAACACCGCAAACATGTTACGCCAGCCCTGCTTGGAAGAAGGCGAGGTCCTTCTGCAGGTCACTCACCCTCTTGTAGAGGCGCTCGTGCATGATTCGGGGGAACCTCACAGAGAGGTCCTTGTCCGCTGGGGTCTCCTTGAGAAGCTTATCGATGGCCGCCTCCGGGAGATTCAAATGATTTTGACGTTGCTGATGCTGAGGATGATGAGTTTGCAGTTTTACACTATGATATGCTATTCACATGACCCACTTAGTGATCTAGAGGGTGCTAGGGGGTCATCCTCACCGTCATCGCCATGCTATCCGCCTTCGTGTCGGATGGGGCGCTGCTGGCACTATTGGCCTCCGACAAGAATTTGTGGACCTGGGTCACAGTCTCCGCGGAGAACTTGTAGGCATCCTCGCGAGGGGAACTGTCAGCTGCCTCCTTGCCAGCCTCCTCATCTTTGCGGAGCTTCATCGATGCGTACATCCATCGGCGATCCGCATCGCGATCAATCTCCACCACTCGGCGCTTAAGGCCGAAGTCATAAGAGACCAAGGCCGCTTTGTTCTTCAAGGCGTCATAATCCGGAGTCCTCTGGTCTGCCTCCTGCACACAAGACGGTATCTTTTTACTCTTAGCCTCCTATGTTACTGCAACAAATGACAAGATGTCAGCCCATACGGCCAGGAGGAAAGCACAGCAAAAGAGAACCAGGCAGGGTCTTTTTGTCCTTCTTGTAGTCATCCTTCTCCTGAACGACGCTGACAATATCTCAAGGTCTTGATTGACATGATTTTTGTGTCGCAGTGCCATGTTTATGCCGGAGCTATGCACAGTGCAACATGCAGGCAACTCACTGTTGGGGATGCTTACTGCCAAGCATTCAACTATCGCTCCAAGGTAGTAGCCTCCAATAACGGGTTTCCCATGACTTCCCAAGTTGAAATGGCCCCAGGTAAGCCCACCAGGGTGCTCAGCAAAAGTAGAAGGGAAACAACCCACTGCAGCTTGGTTTCGTTGTCGAAAAATTTCTTGAGCACCTTGGCAAAAGACTGGATCTTCTCTTCTGGGAGGTCCGAGCTGAACTCATCGCTCTTGCGGAACTTCTTGTTGAACTCGTTCTGGGCCTGCTTCAGCAACAGAGCCTGCTCATCCTTGCTAAGGGAATCCTTCCAGGTATAGAAGTCATCCTTGAAGCCGCGCATAGCGGTGCGGCTGGGCTTGGCAGATCCCGCACTGGTCGTCACAAAAGACTGCGAAGATCCGGACAGCAGTGATACCAGGCACCAGGCTCCGGCGCCCAGCAGCACAGCAGGAAGCAGTCGAATGGACTGAGTCATGGCTATGTGGCGATTGAAGAGTACTGTCAGCCTCCCACTACTTGAGCCGGCACTGCCTTTCTGCCAGGAGTCTTGCAGCGATCACTACCACATGCTATTAGCACTGCAGATGGTACTTGCAATGCGCACGGAGCACTGGCCTCCCGCCAGCACCGGTCGAATTTGCCCGACCTTCCAAGGAACTGTGCAAAGGAAGCCAACCTAACAACTGCTGGACATTGCTGGACCCTCTGTACCAAACGCCAGGCCATGCTGCGGGCCACACGTTGCATCCCGACAGGCGTCCCCGGTTTTGAAACCTCTGGATTGAACTCCGATTGGGTTGCCACATGCAGTATGGCTCAGTATGGGGTTCGGGCGACATGCCGTTGGCCAGACAGTGCAGACGTCAAACCTTCCAAACTACAACCATTGCAGTTGACGATGCTACTAGCAGCACCTTGTCTGAGTCTGTGATAGCAAACACTAAGCCGCTAGGCCCTTCATGGACATAGCATGCGGAGGCCTTGTCGCAGGCCAGGCACCTCGCAAGCAACCTGGAATATGAGCAGGCACATACAGCAAAGACCCATCATGGTGTGTTTGCTTCTGAAATGGTCCGCTGGCCCGCAGGTCATCCCCTTATCCCCAACCCCTGCAATGGACATGCCAACATGGAAACTCTGACATGGCATTACAAGGCGGTGGCCAATTCCAGCGCCGCGCCCAGTAGACTCGCGGAGAAACCGAACGTCTGCGAAAAAGAACTCGCAGGCTGGCTTTGGAGATCTTTGGAGCATGCAGCTTCTGAACCAGCCTCCAAACGAGCAACCATGCCTCAGAACCAGCTGGTTAGGTTTAAATATATTTGAATCACTGGCAACACGAAACAGCGGCACCGGAAAATGACACAGCAGCGGGGGCAAGTTCTGGCATGCTGAAATCGAGAAGTCGAAGCGAAGTCTGCCATGGAAGACTTGCGGCTCTACTTGAATGGCCACAATGGCAGGCGGAAGCTACCAACTCTTGGAGAATGAGAAGATATCTCAAGCATTCTCAAGCCAAGACCTTGCTTGGCCACCATCTTGGCTCCGTCCAAGGGCTGCAACAGCTTGCCATCATCTGGCCCAAGGTCTGGATAACCGACTGCGGCTTGGGCTGCTTCGACTCCCTCGAAACGTTGAGGGCCTCCTGTGAAATGGCGGGCTCAGCAGGAGGCGGCGCCGCGCTCAACTGAAGCAAGTAGCCTGGATTGTGGTCAGGAAAGGCATGAGTGAGGGTATGGGACAGGCCACAAATCACTGCACCGGAAAATTTTCTTGCCCGAGGCACGCATGCGCTTCGACTCCCTGCACTTGCCCTCCGGAGTCTCGAAGTGCGGATTTTCCGACTGCTCGCAACTCACCCTTGGCAGCCAAGCTCGGAAAAAGCTCGGGTATAATTCAAAGTACGAATCTACGACTACTTCCTCCAATCAGGGCAGGACCCGTCATCCTTGTACATCTGCACCATATTGTGCAGTGTTGCCGCCTCACTAACATTTGGAGCCGAGGCATGTCACAACCCGACATGTAAACATATGGGACACGAGAATCTCCGCATCTCCGCGCCTCGTCCTCAAAAAAGGTGCCAATGAGGCACGTGCCGCCTTTCGCGGCGCCGACGACTGAGCCGATGATTGGGAACCAAGCCCCACCTCCTGGGAATTGCAATGAATTTTCCCTTTTCCTCTGCACACTCCTACATTTTAATACTCGCACGGCTCCCGCTTCTTCCAGGCAAGCGGCTCGTGACCTCGGGGTGCGAGGCGATCGTCAACGCAGCGCGGGGTAGCGGGTCAATGTGGAGATCCCGGACCAAAATGTGGACCTTCAGATCTTAGCATCACTTTTTGGCTTGGAGGAAAAAGCAGGCGCGCAGCTTCAAGGCCTCGATGGTCGGATAGAACTCCGAAAACCACCGCTTGGCCACTGCCCACTCGAAGTGGTACTTATCGGAGGTGTCGGTTGCAAAGATCTTTGCACCGCGAACACCCGGCAGTGACAGGCAGTGCTCAGCCAGGAAATGTCCCAGCATGGCGTACTCCTGGAAACGCCCGCAGAAGGGCACGTTGACAATGAGCATGCCGTCTGCATCAGCCTTCCATGCAGGTCTGAACTTTCTGCGCACTAGAGTCTGCAAGGAGGCAGCACGCGGTCTCCGGCCTTGAGGCTGCTGAGGGCGCCAGACCGGCGCAGACACTCCAGGGCTTCGAGGTACGGGCCTCGAAGAGTCTCCGACTGGAGAGGATTGAAAGCCACCTGCCAGACGTTGCCAGACGTTGGCAGAGCAGCTCATGCAAAGATGGAAGCGCGACATGATGGGATAAATCATGAATCTTAGCTGGAAGTCTGAGAATGTCTGCTTCAGCGCCTGCACCAGATCCACCAGGCGGATCACAGCCCATCCAGTCTTCAGATTCTGGAGCTCGATCAGGTGCCCAGGGTGTGCGTTCTGGCAGGAGCACCGGCAATCACCGGCATGATGCCACGATATTGCCATGACTGCTATGACGTCTGTGACAGCAGAGCTCCAGTCCGCTCCAGTACTTCTAGAAGCATAACCGGTCATAACCGCTCGAAGCCTCTGGCAGCTCCAAGTTGAGAACAGTGGCATCTGGAAGCTGCGGCTTGAGGACCTGTGCCACACGTCACTGAATTCTCAAAGAAAGTGTGCCCTGGGCTCACAACAGACCCCTCCGTGGCCTGTCCGGGCGTGGCATCTGCAGGAACGACCAAGGTATGCTGCATGGGCTGCCTCAGAAGACCATACACTCGATTTGCGTGGGTTGGCTCAACACACAAGAACGTGCGAATGGAGCTGGAAACGGGACCTTGCAATTCGCCAGCGGCCATCCGCCCGCTGCATCGCGACTGCCTGGTCGCCGCCCTCCACACCCTGCATCGGCGTTGCAGTTATGCCGAACACGGAAGCTTTGACGCTTCCATTGCCTGCTGTCATCTACTGGATCCTCACACCGTGTGGCCTCCGGGATCTTAATGGCGACCTTCTCACTGCCCTCCAGGTTGAAAGTCAACACAGAGCCAGGCTTACCTGCCATCTCGCAGTGATTCGCAGTGCAAAGTGAAGACAGAAAAAGCGGCCAAAGCCCGGCGGGCTCCCCCTGTACAGACGTCCTCGCTGGCCCTGCAGCCAAGCCACTCTCCGCAGGCAATTGGAAGTTGAAGCGCCTTCACACTCACTGAGGCTGCGTTCAGGGTTCAGGGTCCGAGCTATCGTAAAATGATCCACTCTTGCATGGCTTGCAAGTATGAAAGCTCCCATGTTTGTGCTCTCTTCTCCCGGCTGCGCATTGTAACGTATCACACCTGCAATTGAACAAACAGACGAGCCTCTTTGAAGCCGGCAACATGACTGCTTCTTCCCAACTGCAAGGCTCGGGAACAGGCCTCAGCGGACACAGACTCTGAAATTCAATTTGCACTCCGACGCCACTTGCTCCAACGGCACATGTGGTCATGTACTACAGGACTCCGACTGCACAGCAAAGAAATCAGCGGCCCAAATAACTGCGAGCAACACAAGGCAAAATAAATACAATTCAAACACGCAAGCTCAAACGCGCGAATCCTGCAAAAGTGCTACGCTCCGAGGCTGATGCAATGTCGCAAGCCAAGAAATTGCGCATACAAATCTGTAGGAGGGAGGAATTACAGTAACACGCGACGCAAGTTCTTTCTGGGCATGCTGGCAATGATGGGTCACAGTCATCAGCCGTCAGCACCACCTTCGGCACCTCGATCGGACAAAGCCTCACAGGTTCAAGCATGTTCTCGCCGTTATGACTCTCACGCCAGCCACCCACACCGGCAAATCGCTGGCCTTGTCACGATTTTGCCCGATTCGGGGCTGGTGTCTGCAGTATCCGCGTCGGACATGGCGGCTACTTGCAGAAAACGCAGGATTGCTTTCGCTTGCTGGTCTCTCTGGGTCGCTCCATTACGCTGTATGCAAAATTAAAGTGTGTTGAAGTTATTCCGCACATCTGGCATTGGATGTGTTTTGTCAACTGCAGCCTTTTGAGAAGCAGACATGCTTGCCCAATGCGGAGGCCAACCGTCTGCACAAATCGCAAACAGTACAAGGCTGTCTGGACCTTCCCTGACCAGGTTTGGTTGATCACTTGGTCACCGGACTCGCAGGCCGTGGGACCTCATCTCGGAAACCTGGCTACTGGTACAATCAAAATGGATGAGATGCAAAGGATTTCCCATGCGCACAGAAAATTCCAATGCGGCATGTAGGCGGAAGCTGGCAAACGCTAAACATCAGTCACGAATCTCTCTTCCTTCGGGTGCAGCACCTTGCGCCGTATATTACCCTCTTACTTCTTGCTCTAAGATTTCGATGCATGTGATGGCACTCAGAATACTCGGAAAAGACACCGGCGACCAGCAACAAGTAGCAACATTATGCTCAGTTTCGTTGCGCATTTCTCGTTTTCATGGCTGATGTTGTCCAAGTTCTTGCCGCGGTCCAGTCCTACACCCACTATTTCCGTACACGACCACCACTCACGTCAGCCCTGCCCAATAGTATTCTTGCTTGATTTGTAATCTAGGACTTCTATAAAACCTACATAAATTCGTATGACTCTATATAACCCCATTATACTCCATATAATCCCCATGTAAACCCGTATGTAACCTTCATATCCATACCCCTGCCACCTAAAGCAGCCAGCAGCTGTGCAGCGTGACGGCATCCGCTGGCCTGGCCCCCATCCCCGATGTTCCCGCCCTGTGACGGTTTAGGGTTTAAGGTTTAGGGGAATCCCTTCCCCGTCTAAAAAGGGATTACGTATGTTACCTAGGGGCATATAGGGGAATGGAAAAGAAAATCGAAACTACCGCAGTATTTAGGGTTCAGGGTGTAGGGGTTATGATAACGCCCCCGCTCCAAGAACGAGCGCCCTCAATTTAGTTCAATTTAGTATCATTATGTATTAGGCCGACTATTTACTATTTGGGAGGCTGGGGGTCAATTATTAGGGAGGGGATGAATAGAAATTGAAGAAAAGGATTTTCATGTGACGGCAGTGCTCCACCAGAATACCCATAGTAAGTTGTCAAGATCATGCCCCCACTTAGGGGGCACCCTATATATCAGGACGTATTATCATGGGGACCCAGAAAGGCACCATAATTTTTACAACCCAAGCGATAGCTTCCAAAGTATGAGACAAAGGTTGCTGAGAACAGCCCGCCTCCCACCCCTGCGGTCGACGGCTCGCTGGTACAGTCCGGATAGTTGCAGCCTGACAGACGCATTTCATGCGGGCTCCTCTGCGATTTGCCCTCTGGCGGTCATATGAGCAAGCGCGACAGCACATTGCGGACACAAGTGGCTCAATGTCAAGCTGACAAGCTTTTACTCCACGCGGCAAGAAATGTAGGTGCTTCAACCGCACAGACATGGAGAAGGGTACTGAAAGTCGGAGCGCATAATTTGGAGCGATCCCTGGACGGGGACGTTGGCTCTTGTGCTTCACTGCTTGCTCTGTCATGCCTGGCCCAGACCACCGGCCTCCATGGGTCTCCGAAGCTGCTCTAAAATATGCAGATGACGATCTCAGTCTCTCTTCTACGTCGGAAGGGCGAGGCTCTTACGCCAGCATGCCTCTGCTTGGAGCCTGATCATCACGTGAAGAGCTTGGGTCCAGGCCTAGGATTTTCAACAGCTCCCCACTTCGCACGGCAGTCTGCCAGCGCTCAAGAAGTTCAGGTTCCACAGGCCCAAGCACGTGGGCAGCCACCGTACTAGGATCACGGCTCGCGGGTCGTCCAACCCCAATGCGCAGCCTTCGTACTCCCGCATCCAGGAATTGGAAAATGCTGCGCACACCGCGATTACCCCCATCGGATCCACCCCAACGCGATGCCCAACAAAAACGGTCAAGGTCTATGTCATCATGCAGAATGATCAGTTTGTTTGGTTCAAAGCCTAGCTGGGTACATGCGCGTCGGATAGCCAAGCCTGACACGTTGTAGAAGGTAGCAGGAATGAACATCATCAGCTCGTGAGGCTCCGCTGCTTTTGCCACCCATCCGAAGCAGCTCCACCACCACTCCCATTTCAGACTCAGCTGATCACAAAGACTCTCCAGAACCAGCGATCCCAAGTTATGCCGCGCCTGCTTTGGGAAAGGCCAGGGATTCGCCAAGCCGACGAGAAGGTTTGCCATGCGCGGGTAGGCCGCCCATGCGTGTATCACCCTTGTAGCATGTGTCGCACTGAGCCCTCGATAAGGGAAGCATAAAGGTGCGCGGCATGCAAACTGCCATAATCTTCAAAAGGCAGCCAGCCTTTATCGTCAAGAACCAGGCGTAGCCCAACTCTTCTTTCCACAGCCTTCCTGGCACCACTGCACACCTAGTCACCCCACCACAAATTTGAACAAGCAACAGCTCACCATCAGACCCGTCTTGGTTGAAGCTCACCAAGCCACCTTGGCTGGCAACGTCAAGTTGCATTCTACCTTATGGTGATTGGGCTCTGGCTGCAAATTAACCGTCCGCTTCGCACTCTCTCTGGAACTGACAAACTGACGCTAGCTCCTGGTGTTGTCACATATGCTTTTCTCAGGCCCCCTCGGAAAATCAAGTCTGCATCTCCGCTCAAACCCAGCCTGTTGAGGGCACCAACCCTGCTTTACAGGCAAGAGGCAGACGCGAAACCAAGCAAGCAACCACATGACAACGCGTTCAGCACACATATTAACCATGCTGCTTCTAAGTGCTCTCCTCGAAACCCTTAGATCCAGGACAAAACCCTGGGATTGCCTGGAGTAAGCCTCTTGAAACTGCTCCAGGCTGATGGATTTCACCTGCGGGAGGGCAGAATAGTGGGGCCTTGGTTAGACAAGCGCTGTACTCATGACGACGAAGGAGGGAACGGTATGGAGCTCATGACATACCCACAGCCAAAATTGTCAACCGGCTTCTTTAAACGCTCTACATCCTGCTCCTAATGATTAATGATTAACTGGTCTTCAAACTGAACAGGCCATCCGGAAAGGGAGGCAGGTTAACTCTGCAGCAGTGCTCCGGGTAGTGCTAGTGAGTAAGCCTTCCTGCCGGGCTGCATCCGTAACCGCAGCTGCGGCATGGGTCATGCTACCAAATCATGGCTATGTGCGCTCTGGCCGTATACTATGAGGACCATACTCGCCATCCGACTATTGAAGGTGCCTATCAGGATATGTTCAATAGCAGAGAAAAAAGGTGCCTGAAAAAAGCGGCGGACCTTGTAACTTTGAGATTTACCTAATAGTAGGGAAAGGCAGCGCTGGCTGGCCCAAACCAAATTGGCCTCCGTATCGCCTGACGATCCGCTGGTCAGCAGGCCCCAAGCCTTAGGTCGCTCAAATGAAGATCCCCCTCCACACCCCGAAAGTGATCTTCAGATTGGACCCCAAGCTATGGGGCCTCTCACGTGAAGATACTTCTGCTTGCTTCTGCCAGAGGCTGCTTCTGCGTAAAGCAAGGAGATCAGAGGCCCCTCGCGCGATTGAGGTGATACCCCAGCAACTTGAACACTTCCTGCTTGGTCTGGGCATTATCGACATCTTGCTGGCTGAATGCACGGGTCCTCTGTGAACGCGTACAGGTTCGCCGCCTCGTAGGGCCTTCACTGCACTGCCCACATCAATGACCGCTACAAGTAGCACACTGGTCATTCTTGTTGGCACTGCTGTCCCACCCTTGGGGTGGAAACTGTGATGCATATGCGAAAGCCATTGTAGGCTAAGTGCTTCGCTCAAGGTCACAGATCTCAAGGGGATGCTGCGGACCACTCGCAGGCCTTAACCTGGAACTCAACTGAGTGTGAGCATGACACAAACATCTGCCCTCAATAGGTACATGCAAGCTACGCTTCTCATCTTTGAACAGACTGCGAAGGCAAACAAACTTTTAAGGCAGGCCCTGCGCTCGTCTCATGATGCTCATCCCACCTTGAGCCACGGTCTTTATTGGGCACCCTGCGCTTGCCATATGGTTGCTGCATGGTCGCCCAAGCCTGCCCAAAAGCACAACTGTTTCAAGCAAACAGCTTCGGAGCGATTTCCGCAGCTGCAGCAACCCAGCCGAACAGAGCTCTTCTTATTGTCACTTCTTTTTGGAAGGGGACTGCCAAGCACGCACAAGCTCCCCCTGCCCTACTACCACGACTGGGTTTTGGCAGTGCTGCCACCACTCCACAATTATGAGCATGGACTGGTGCCTACCACACGGCACACCCTCTCCAGATCAGAGCGGTGGACGACCCCTTTGCCTGCAACCCAGGCTTAAGTGGCTTCAAACTGGCACATTTTCAGATCACAAGGGTGCTGGATAGATGGATGCGTGAACATTGGCACATGCATTAGCATATCACCATGCGGAGGCTATGTCTTGGCAGCTGCACAGGGCAGCCCTTTGCGAGGTCGAGCTTTTTCATGCCAGGCTTTGCACTAGCCAGTTGAGGTCAGTGGCATCAGGCTTCCATCCTGACAGGCTCTTGCCCGTCCGCCTCGAATAGAAAAACCTTAGCTGTCGCTAGGACGGGTCGGGCAACACACATCAGGAAACACAAGCTTACTTTGAGTAAGAAGTGCCGGCCCACAGGGACCTAGCACCATTGGATCATGCCTTGCAGGATCACGATGACATGCGGTCCAGGTGCGGCACACCATTGCCGCCAAGTCGGCGGAACTCTTGCACCGCCTGCTCACGGAGACTGCGCAGAGAGCAGCAGCAGCAGCAATATCCAAAACTTTGCCACGCTCGGGACTTGGCCTCTTTCGACCATTCCACGTCTTGCAGCTCAAAGTCTGCCAAACCGCGCCGCTTCAGCAAATCAAAGGCAGCAACACAGTGTGGACCTGGATAGTGCCAAGTTCATGCTACAAGTACGTACAAATTGAAATAGCTGCCTCAACTCTAGCAGCTGAGCTGGGCACATCCACCTCGTGCGAACAGCACAATTTCCTTAGCGCAGCTGGCGGTTGGCATTTGCACGTCTGGCACCAGCGTGGCGGGGCAACTGCCCCAGCAACTCACGAAAGTCACAGGAAAAATCTGAGAGCAGAATCAAATGACAACTGGAACAGAAGCAACACTAGAATAACACCAACACGCATGCCGAAACGGCTGCCGGAAGTCCAAATCTTTGTAGCGCTGGACATCCCAGGGCAGCTGGCTTCGATCAGCTTTGGGCGAACGCGGAGTTGATTTTGCCTGGCTCGCAGAAGCGCCTTTGCTGTGCCTCCCGGTGACAAAGAGTGGTCTGCAGCAGAAAATCTTACTGCTGCTACTACTACTACTTCTTCTTCCATTACTACTACTACTACTACTACTACTACTAATACTACTACTACTACTACTATTCTTGCTACAACTACTGTTTTTGTGGAAGCACATGCCGCTTTGTTCTGAGGCCGGAGCATCTGCATACAAAGCATGAAGCTACTGCTAATACTGGTGTTCTTCACTTTGTTGCCGCTAGTATTCTTATTACTATCTCCCGTACCTTAGCTCTGCCAAGTCCTGTTTCGTTACTTGCCCACTCCCCACCCTCAGCCCTCCCCCCTACCACTGCAGTGATAAGAGCAATCACCAGAATACCGGGAACAATGGTTAGGATTGTCGAAGCATCTGTAAAAAGTCATGGTAAGAACAAGTATTGTAGTAATAGTACCACTCCAGCTTGCAGGTGACAAAGGTCGCTCAATCTGCGTTCCCTCCCGCGACATGCTTCCGCACTCACAGCAGTAGCAACAGTCATTGCAAAAAGTACAAAGGCGATTCAAGAATGAAAATTGAATTAACATGCAGCTGCCTCAGCTTTGCCTTTGCCTCCTTCGCTCTCTGCAGGAAATCTCCCCTTTCCAGCAAATCCCGTGAGCTGAGACCGGCCTCACACTGATGATGCTGCTGTTGTGATTAGATATTCATGCTGACGCTCCTGTCCCTGCAGTGGTATTTGGTGCCAACAATGACTCTGCCTAGCATTTACACTTTCACCTTCGTCTTGATCGTGACTCTCATGATATTTGTGAGGCTGCTGCCAGACGGTCACTGCTTGAGCATACAACTACCAACAAGATGAAAACCAACGCGGCACCACATCGCGCAGAAATACGAAAGACATCAACAGATCACCCAAGGCAACAGCTGCTCGTTCGTCAGCTTCTGTCATTATGCACACACACTCACACTTTTCAAAGGCGGGTAGACATAGAGAAATACCAATGCCTCACAACCTCACTACCTGAGGACAGTTCATACCTACTCTGAAGGTACCATCACACAAGTTGTCAAGACTACAGACTTTGCGACTGCAATTGAGTATATTGCCGAAAATCAGGGCAGGGCTTCGTGGCCTGATAAACTACATCTGCTTCAAACTTCAAAACACTATACCGCCACCGCCGCCGCTGCTGCCGCCGCCGCCTCGTGGATCAAGCTGCGCAGCTCGGCGATCGACATGGAGTCCACTTCCTTGTCCGTGGCATCGCCAGCACAACCTTCGGCCACCCGACTACATGCATCCCCTAGAGCTGACTCTGTCAGCAAGGAATACCACAAGACTTCCATCGAGTGTCCACCACTTGCTTTGTTGGTGCTTGTCTCTGACGTCGAAATGCTTGACTGCCTGCCATCATGACAAAGCTTGGGGATTCTATCTTGCAAGGGATTGCAGATGTCTCTCTTGGCTTTGGCGTAACTGCAAAATGGGCAGCAGCATATCGTACCAGTAGCTTGCCTCAACTTGTCGACCATGTCGCGCTTCTCAAAACAATCCTGGGGTCTGCTGGGCCTCTCTCTAAGTCAGGGTCCACCACACCAGAATGATACGACTCAGGTTGCTTCCATCCCCAAGACTAGACATCTGTTTTGAAAGGCTCACCATCAGATGTGTGCAGGAATGTGCAATCCATGTGTCTGCGTACATCTACCTACATGACTCAGGGGTCAGATGAGGATCATCCAAGGCCACGCCCTTTTGACGAGCCAACTCCTGGAGCTCCCTGATGGAAAGTGCCTGCAGCGGCAAACGTGAACAATCTCCCCCGATAGCGGGTCCTCATCAGTACCAGTACCTTTACGTCGTTTCCAAGCGCTCTGCACAGGATGCAATCTTCCAAGCATAAAAATATCAATGCTCACGATACTCGCAGTGCAGTAATGTCGGCGTTATGTTTGCCATGATGAGCAGCTGGTACTACTGGAAGCGGTAGTTCCACTCTGATGAGGTCCGAATGCAAGCTCGGGGCCAATGCTTCCACTTCACCCTCAAGATAAACATTCTGTTTAGCGACAGGAAGCCGGTCACCATCCTGAGTGTTCTGTTGGCTGTCAGTGCCGCAACCAAATGATACCAGAACCATGATCACACCGCCTTGCCGTGAGGAACAAGGGAACTTTTACACTTGAAACCACTTGGCCAAGCGGAGTGCACGAATGCCATGCGGTGGAACATTCAGAAGATTTGCTTGACCTTCCACTTCACATAATCCATTGTGTCTCATGTATCCTGTACACGGCCGCGCAAGCTATATGCTAAGTCCATTCCAACTGGTTGTCAACTGCCTGTCCTCGAAGTCCTGCGCGGACAGCCTTCGCGCCTGTCAAAGCTTCCGGGTACTTCCCATGTCTTCTCGCGGTGCTGATAGTTCCAGCTCGAGGTTTCAAAACCCATCAGCAATGCAGCAATTTTCTGGGACAGCTGAAGCTACGCAGGACATCATTTACAGGACACATAGTATCCGTGGGCTCCACCTGCACAATCCCCGCAGGCAAGCTCAGCGCGCCACAGCGGCCCAGGCGCCATGCTGCACGCGCAGAGCGCATGTTGTCTACAGGATGTCTTACGCTTACACAAGCCTGATGATGTTTACGTTCACCTTAAGCCGTTTGACGCGATTCTGCCTTCAGTACAGCTTGCACATGCCCTGCATATGCTGCCTGCATTTCTGTGTGCTTCGAAAAGACTCTTCCTGGAAAAAAATGGCAGCTTGCAAAGGAGCGACAAATGATTGCAGAAACCGCCAACCAGCTGCTTCATCCCTCACGACACCCCTAGCAGTTTGTAGCGTCCTCGAACGTCAAGATCCAATCTCCAGGCCCGAAGCACGGTGCCCCGACTCCTCCTGGCACAGAGAGGACACATGATCGGTGAAGTTGGTGGGGAGTTCTTGAAACCCGGCCTCAGGGCCCCGCAGAAGCTCTTTACGAGGCCGGCCTCTGCGCTGCGCCGGAAGGACTGCAGCCTGGCACACAAAGCAGCGCCTCCCTTCAGGGAGGACCAGTGGTGTTTGAAACCAATCTATGTCTTACCAATTTCCCAACAGGAAGTTGCATGCATGTTGAAGCACAACATCTTGCTGATATGTAGGTCTAGCTTCGTCTCAACAATTGGCGGGCTGGCTGAGACATCGTGACACTTTCCACACCTTGCCAGCCAAGGAAGGGAAGAAATCGGACAATAATGCAGCACATCGCTTTAAATCTCACATCAACTCATCTTGTGCAGCATGCCTTCTCGTAGCCGATGTTGGTCCTCCGTGTTTCTGCCAGAAATTAAGCAAGACCAACCATCTCTGACAAGCCCACCCACCAGGACGGATTTGATGATTGCGTGCCTCGATCTCACATCTCTGGAAGATGCTTTGCACCAGAACTCTAGCATCAGCCTGAAAACTATACTTTCAATCTGAAAGCACTATCGCCGCTCGACCAGCGGCATCAAGACAACTCGACAGGTCGAAGGGACCTGCCTTGAAGTGCAGACCTTGAAGGAACCGCACGAAATCCTCACAGCAAAGACACTTCAACGACGTGTCTTGTCCAGATGCCAAACGCAAAGCCGAGCCCAAGACTTCGGTTGAAACGCTTCGAAACCTGGACGCGGCTGCGGGAACATTGAAACTCCCACTGCGACATCCCTGGCGGCAACTTGGCTTCAAACTTCATGATGCCACCAGCATCTGAAAACAGGATGCGCTGTCTCTGAGAAGGAAGAAGAAGCAATTGCTGCGCGCAGGTTGGGAAAATCTTTGGGCACCGGCTTGATTTCGAACTGCTGACCTTCCAAGACACTCTTTCAGTTGGATGTCGAGAAAACGTTGCAGAGCCTGGCCGGTTTTGTCGTTCGAGAAGAGGTCTTGCAAAGGCTGCCAGCCTCCAGTCACACGTGTTGTACGACCTGCAGATGCTTTTCTTGCCGACAAACCACTAGTGACAGTGTCCCAAGGTGCTGACTGTTCATAATCCAGCGAAGAAAATAGCGCTCCACCTGCGCCAAGCAACAATGCTTCTCTGGCATCGCTGGCCATCGGGATGAAAATGAAGGAACTGCAGGAACGCCTCTTCCCTTCCTCCTCCGACAGGCAGTTCCTGCGCTCACTTCTCAAGCACGTGGCATAGTTCTCATGGGAGGACACTTGCCTGCTCTTCTGGGTATGCCGGAGGCTTTGGGACAAGAGCATCCTAAATTGCATGGCCGAAACGGATGAAGCTTGTGTGCTTTTGGTCACCATCTTAGTACATCTTAACCCAGGGTTCTGGCCTGCGTATCTTGTGGCCAACTTCCTGAAGTGAACAGCTTGACCTGCCAGCGCAGGTCAGGCGCTGTCGTGCCATCCAGCGCGACATGGAAAAGACAGCAGGCAAGCAGGTTCACCTGAAACCTGACATCCTTACGGCAAGCACTGCCGTGTAGAAATTGCTTGGGCTCTTGCATAATCAAACTCATCGCGCCACAACTTCCCCTGGCGGGTATATGAACGATAGCAAAAGCATACATGGTCAGGAATAGAAGGATGTGACTGTAACACCAACACATGTCCATTCATTTTGTAGGCACGGGCTGTCAGCTTCAGACACGCACCTTGTAATTTGAACTGCCCAATTCAAGCAGGCACGGCTGTACAAGCAAGTATGATTCCCGGAGCCCACGAGAACATAGCACGATGTAGCCAATACATGGTTGTCTAGTTGCAGTACAGATAAGAGGGCCTCATCTATGTATGCGTGGGAAGCCAGTAGCATTCGAAAAGATCCCACTCTGCAAATGCAGGATCTGCGAAACGTGCCCGGCTGCTCTCGAGGAGCAATCAAACATTCATACACTTCTTTGTTGCCTGGTAGCGAATTGCAGAACCAATATGCCAGCAGCCGGGGTAATTACATGACGACACTACACATTGCAAAGATCTACTGCAAAATGCACTACATGGGAAAATCTATAATTCTGCAAAGATGTGCGAACCTACACAAGTCCTTGGAAGGAGGGCATGGTCGGTCGCCTCCGGAGAGCTTCATGTTGCTGGGAGATCCATGAATGTCTTGGAGGAATAATGACAACAATAAGAACAATAACAATAAGGATATCCATAAAAAAATTGTTAACAAGAAGAGTAAGTACCATCTTAACTGGCAAACAATGACAATCATAGTAACAATGATAACAATATCACCAATACGAATAACGACCATCATAGCCATAATAACAAGAGCAAGAACCACAACAATGATTAATAACCATAACCATAAGAACAATAACAATACTCAGAATAACATTCATAATAACAACGCTCGGACGGTACATGCGCCGACTCATCTGTGCGCAAAGCTAGAGTACAGAATCCAATGCAAGACGCAATATTCTTGCAAGCATGCACCCATGGGCCGTCGCGAACATACACGTCAACAAAACGTAGGAATTTTATGCGTAAATGATGCAATTTTCAGTGGATTCTATCCGGCATAATTTTAGAAATCAGGGTTTCCGGATGAAGAACTGCATGTTTGGGGTCTGATATTGTATGAGCCGAAGTGAAGGGTTGAGAGGTCGCAAGGGGTAGTTGGGTAAGTGGCAACTGCGGAGGCTGAGGTTTTAAAGGCATCTGGGTCCTGGAGGAAGTGCAGATGTCCGGGGCTTCATGCTTCTGACTTGCAACTCGGACAACCCGTAAACGTTAACGACTAAACCCGAAACCCAAAGCCCGTAAACCCGCAAGCGCAAAGCGTCTGCAAGTATGTCACGCCAAGTACACCTTAAATCACTGAAGCCAAAACCGGCTAACTTTCCTGTGAGGATCTTAGAGAAAACAGCGCACCTTGGAACAGGAACGTTATTGTGATTTGCACATGGATGCTCTGGTTATCGCATGCACACGAACGTTGAAAAACGCCATGCATGGGTATTTGCAGTATTTCCAGCCTCTACAAGACAACTCACATCCGCAAAGGTCGGCCAAGCATTTTTTTTGTTTTGCGCGTTTTCGCTCCGGTGGAGCCAATAACAGTAATAACAGTAATACTAATAACAACAACAACACTAATAACAATAATCGCAATGATAACCGCAGTAGTTGCAGGACCGCAGCTGGCCCATCAAAATCACAGCCCAAGGAATGCAAGCAAAACATTGGGTACATTTGGGTACCTCACCCCATCATCGCAGTCCCCCGACAATACACTTGTAGTAATGCTATGCCCGAAATAGAGGTCCTGCATATGACTGTCATAGGGTGGTGGCAGTACCCAAAGCTAAGGAGAACAGCTGCTAGCAACGTCCACTGCCTCGGAGGCACGTCAGCGATTAAAATGGGGTACTCGGAAGATCCACTTCTCCATATCATAGGAGATGAACTTGCCGCCAAACTCCTTGAAACAAAGGAAATCCGCCCCTGTTCGGAAAGACAGGCCTATGAAGAAGAAAACTGATAGCCATCTGATGTCCTCGGAGAGCTTCGACAATCGGGATTGAAGAAGATCCAAGCTCTTGGGCTTCACATCGTTCCTTCAAAGCTGTTCAAGAATATGAGTGTTGAGCTCAAGATCGCTTTCAAAAAAAATATCTGTGCACTTGTGACTGTGCGGCTCACGGGCTTCACACAAGCACTTCTGTCCGTAAACCCTTAAAAACCTTCGAAAGCTCCACAAACTGCCTGGTCGGCTTGACATGCAGGGTCACCACAGCCTCCTTGTTCAGGCCTTGACCTTATCACCGTTCGTTTCCATTCACACAGCAGCCCGCAAGTAATTCACGCAGGCGTAATCCCTGGAATTTATGCCCTCATTCCCTTCTCAGCGGTGAGGAGTGCAGGTTCTTCATCATCTAGACGATTCGAAGAGTCAATCAAGCTATGCCTTCACCTCTTTGGGTTTCATTTGGGACACGGATTTTCGGTTCTATTCCTCTGCAGCCATGTGGATTCATTTCTCCGAACCATGTCGAGGAACGATCTGAACGTTACCCAGCAAAAAGGGCAAGGAATTATTTGGGTGTTTTCTGCTTTAGACCAGGGGAGAATGTGTGTGCGTTTGCAATATGTTTGGACAAGTAACGGACAGAAAACGCGTAACAGCTCCCTCCGACGCATTGACATGTGCCGTTTTGCGCGCGTTTGACAAACAGAAAATACGTGACAGTTGCCTGGTGTCTTGTTACAATACGTTTGGAAGTGAAACAGGCAGGTCGCAATCCGCTCCGACGGATGAGGAGGATTCACTACAACACATCATACGGGTTAATGTTGGTTTTTGTTTCTTAGCGTGGCGGGTGGGAAAAGAATGTGGCGCTTCTTCGTGCGGATTCACTATTAACACCATCCAGTTCCATACGGTTTCATGTTTCCAAAAATGGGGGAGGGATTCCACCCATTCACCACGCGACATTGGACATGGACTCACCTCCTAAAAAGGCAGAGGGCCTTTCATGCTTTTTGGCAGCCGCTCTCATGAATAGTGCAAGCATGCAGCCACGCATGAATTTGAAATCTCTAAGTGGACCGGAATGATCAATAATGATCACAGGATCCCTATCATAGAGACCAGTACTAAGCTAACTTCAGCGAAGACCCAGATGGTAGTGCCTATATAGTATATCATAATTTAATCTCCAAGATTACAGCAGTTGCCGCTTTCTTTTCCAGTCATCCCCAATAACAGCCCTGTATCCCCATGAAACCTATATAAACCCACCTCTAAGAGATTTCTAAGTTTCGGAAACTCTTATCCCCACAATCCGCTGCACTGTCCTTGTTTCCATAGCATCTTCCATTTTTATATCCATTTGACTCTCCCTTGTTGGGGTAATATCACCAAACATCCCTACATCAACCCTAAACCCTACATGGTAATTTCCATTTTCTTTTGCATTCCGCTTTACAATCCCTAATATAACTCCTATGTATTCCCAAATAACTTTCATAGCCATGGACCCCACTTGCAGGCCTGCCTTCAGATAAGCGTAGACTGACAGGGCATGGGTACCTGGGTAAGTTCCTGACAGGCTGCATAAGAGATATTTGACAAGAGATGCACACCCAAGACCCGCACCTATACTGGTCCTGAGTTACCATGGAAACCTGTACAGTCCTTGTGAACTGTTAGAAGAACCGCAATACTCGCACATGGGCTGGAACCTTGCAAACGCTGTAGAAGACAGTAGGGTAAAAAAGCGGTGTCCAACAATAAAATACGGGTAAAAGCAGAAACACGGCCTGCAAGCCGCACTACTTGTACACCGGCTGAAGCTTTACGGTAGAAAACACTGACGCAGCACAGTGTTGTCACAGAATGAAAATACGAGGAAAAACAGAAAGCCAAAGAAAAAAGCCTGCAAACGCAAAACCAAACATCAGAAACAGAGCAGCAAAAATCAAAAGCATGAATCAAAAAGCAGCGGAAAAGAAAAAAAAAACACAACAACAGACAGCAAAAAGCAAAGCACAACCTCCGAACGGCAGCCAATGAACAGCAGATGTAGCAAGCTAAGAAAAGACAACACGCCAGAAACACAAAAAAAGTAGGATTCCTGTGCAACCTGCGAACAGCCACCTGTTTGGCAACGCGTAACTAGCTAGCTCGACTCTCATTGCCAAATCAAAGCTGTTCCTGGAAAATGAATGCCATCCTTGAGCCTCATCTCCCACGTGTTTATGCGCGAGGGCGCAGGGCTGGGGCTCCGGCCCACATCAGGCTTTTCCCTCAGGGCCGACAGGTGTCAAACTATTATGCGAGTCAAAAGGGCATTCTCATTCCAGGCTTGTCCAGGCCTTTCTGGATACAGAGTTAGACTTCCGCGCTCTATCCGGACATCCCGGTCGAAGTCGTGGCACCGGACGTCCGTCAAGCCTGACTGCCAGTAGGGTCACAAGGCAACACATGAAGGTTGCCCAAAATATAGGGCACCCTTTGGGGGTTCACATAATAAGGATTCTGATGTTTTGGGTCCATGTTAGGGTCCCCCTATTTTGGGAAACTACCACACATCTGTACACCCACCTGGCCACTTGACGGAACCGAATCCATACCGCCCGATCTCCAGGTTGTCAATCTTGCTGAGCTGAGCCTCTGTCATTCGCGACATTGCTTCCTCAGAGCAGTGCATTCAAGCGATGCACATGTGTTCGCACACGCCCCCGTGGACATGCTCAGAGATGGTTCCATCGACTGCTGATACCAGTACATTGCACGAATTGCACAAACTGCAGGCTGGTCCCAAAACTGACCATGTTCAAGCATCTGGTACGCAAGCCAAGTCTCCACGGAGGGGCTGCTGTAATAGTCTTGGCGTGTCAGGCGCGGCACAAGCGAAGCAGCCGCTGGGGTTGCATTCTTGGGAGTCTCCTGCTCTAACCTGAGATGCGAGCTTTTGCCAGCTTTGCCTATGCTTCAAGTCTGCCCACCTCTCTGGACCATGTCGAATGATGTTCGGCTTGATCGGTTTCAGAGTAGGCGTGCTCATCTCCTGCAAGAAGACGCAAAGCTAAAAAGGATGTGAGGACAAAGAAACTAGACTTTCTGCGGGCCTCAGGCATGGTTGGCGTTCCGGTGCCACCCGTCGTGCCATCCATTTGGACAGAAGAGATCGGTGGCTGCGCTTCACGCGGCTTCCTGATACACTGGAAGCAATGCAAGTGTTTCTGAACTGGCTTGGGTCATGCAAAGTCATGTGCTCCTCAGAGGTGGCAGCGTTTCATCTGCGGGGGCACGCCGGGGTGATGGAACAGGTGAGCGGGGCGACTTCATCGACACGCGCAAGAAGGCCTGAGCTTTGATTTGCAAGGCCTACTTTTACAACAATGTCACCTGTTCGGTTGAGAGGCGGAGGGCGACACGTCTGGACCGCTCGTTGGTGTTTGCGGTCTGCTGCGTGGTGTTGAGCCATAGGAGCGGAACTGCTCAGTCCTGCATGCTTGGATATGCTTGGAAGGCAAGATGCACTTGCGGCACAAGTACGGAAATGACCAACGCACAGAAAAGCCTGAGATATCCGCGTTCTGGTTCATACACTAACGGAATTGTTGAAGAGCCAGAGGGAGTTAGTTATCTTCAAGCAACTATTCACAGGTGCTTGATCTTGAAAAATGACATCCAAGGCTCACTGCTGATGGTGGCAGGCTGAAAGCGCCGCTTCGTGGCGACCGCTCTGCAAACGAGCCCTGGCAGCCGTTTGTGTGAGTGGCTCTCTGCCACTTGCATGGTCAATACAGATGCTCCTCATGCATCTAGAAGGAGGATTAAGATTCAGACAGCGCACACATTCCCAGAAAACATATTACCAGAATTCGCATTTCACCGCCAAGTCCATCATTTCTGGGGACCCGCCAACGTGTGTTTGACGAGCAGGCCTCTGAAGCGGAGCGCGACGGTGTGGAGGGCTTGACCTTGTAGCTTAATGAAGGCAGAGTCCAAGGCATAAGTTACGCAGATACACACTTGTTGGGACATCCTACTCAATGTTCATAGCAGTCATAGCCCGTGATCCTGGTAGATAATGTATATAGATAATATAGACCGGATGCCTGTTCTGAGCTCCAAGCTCGGGCAGCCGACTCTGGCTGTGACTTCCAGAGATAAGCGGAGGTGGCTTTGGAAGGTGTCTTGGGCATCGTCAAGCCCAGGGGTCGCGGTGGAGCTTGGTTGGTAACCAGGCCATTCAAGCCATAAGGATCCACAGGGGACATGGCACCACCCATGCCCATCTGAGGTTGAGCGCCAAAAAGGCTTCCACCTGCAGGAGCCGCACCAAAGAGACCGCCACCACTGTTGGCTCCAAAAAGGCCACCTCCGGAGTTTGCTCCGAACAATGAGTTTGCTCCAAACAATCCTCCGCCTGAGTTCGCTCCGAAAAGGCCACCTCCACTGCCTCCGAAAAGGCCGCCTCCTGTATTGGCACCAAATAAGCTGCCTTGTGAGCTTGCGCCAAACAAGCCTCCGCCGCTGCTCTTGGCACCGAAGAGTCCTCCACCGCCGCTGTTTCCAAACAGCCCTCCAACGGTGTTGCCAAACAAGCCACCACCAGTGTTGCCAAACAAGCCACCTCCGGTGTTGCCACCCCCGAAAAGACCACCACCACTGCTTTGACCAAACAAGCCACCGCCAGTGTTGCCGAACAAGCCACCGCCCGTGTTCTGACCAAACATGCCGCTACCGGAGTTCGCACCAAACAGACCTGCACCTGTGTTTTGGCCGAACAAGCCGCCACCGGCATTGCCACCAAAGAGTCCGCCTCCAGTATTTTGGCTAAACATGCTACCGCCAGTGTTGGCACCAAAAAGCCCGCCACCACCTGAGCAGGCACTGTCACAAAAGGATCCTACACTTACACTGACGCAGAGCTATATGAAACTTGACACGTGCACGGCAGTAAGGCCATGGCTGTTGCCACCGAAGAGGCCTCCACCACTATTTGCTCCAAACAGGCCTCCTCCGCTGCTTGGCTTCCCGAAGAGGCCGCCGCCACCCGAGTTTGCGCCGAAGAGACCACCCCCTGTGTTGCCACCGAAGAGACCCCCGCCCGCACTCTGGCCAAACATCCCGCCACCAGTGTTTTGTCCAAAAAGGCCACCACCAGAGTTTGGCTGACCGAACAAGCCACCGCCTGTGTTTTGTCCGAACAAGCCCCCGCCAGTGTTCTGGCCGAACATGCCGCCACCAGTGCTCTGACCGAATAAGCCTCCCCCAGTGTTAGCACCAAAGAGACCGCCACCACTAGACTGCCCGAACAGGCCGCCCCCGGTGTTCTGGCCGAACAAACCTCCGCCAGTGTTTTGCCCGAACATGCCTCCTGTGTTGCCTCCTCCAAACATGCCTCCGCCTGTGTTGGCACCAAATAGGCCCCCACCACCGGTGTTTTGTCCAAATAGCCCGCCACCGGTGTTCTGGCCAAATAGTCCACCACCACCAGTGTTCTGTCCAAACAAGCCACCTCAGAGACGGGCACATCCACGCAGCTTTGCGCAACGAAAAACACCCAGCTACTTGCAAGTGCGCACCTCCAGTGTTCTGCCCAAAGAGACCGCCCCCAGACGACGCACCGAAAGGGCTTGTAGCGCCGCCACCCATGCCACCGGCAGCAGGAGCACCTCAATCTGCACATGTTTTATGTTGGCCTTCCTTCACGGCCAGCTCATGGCATTTATGGGAGCGGGGGTGGCCAAAGCATTCTGCATAGCAACAAATTCAAATTCGAAATCACTCTCCTGCCTTGACCAGCTTGAAGCCGGTTGGCTTGGTAGTCTTCCATGCGCAGCCTTGGACAGTGGCACTTGCTTCAGAACCCCCAGGCTTATGCTGTATCATGAGGTGATACGGATCTGTCTTGAGCGTTCTCCGCGAGCAGTCACAATTTCTCTGAGGATGCAGCTCCTCGAAGGATTTGTTCTTGTAGCAGTCCATCACACCTATGTGGGCGTACTTCAGTTTGGTCTCCTGGTCGATGATTTCCTGCATCTTCGTAGTGGTGCCTGACACTGCACCACCAAATCCGCCTCCTCCGCCAAAGAGGCCACCCTGGGCAGGCTGCCCAAAGAGCCCGCCGCCAGTGTTCGGTTGGCCGAACAAGCCGCCACCAGAACTTTGTCCGAACATCCCTCCTGCTTGCGGCTGACCAAATAAGCCCCCACCAGAGGACTGTCCAAAGCCGCCACCACCACCGAAGAGTCCGCCTCCAGAGGAAGGCTGGCCAAAGAGGCCACCTCCACTGCTTGGCTGACCAAAGAGACCGCCTCCCTGAGACTGGCCGAAACCGAATCCGCCGCCTGTGTTTTGCCCAAAAAGGCCGCCACCAGAGTTTGGCTGACCACCGAAGAGTCCACCACCAGAATTCTGGCCGAAGGGACTCCCCCCTGGTGCCTGGCCACCGAACAGCCCACCGCCACTGTTCTGGCCAAACAGTCCTCCACCACCACTGTTCTGTCCGAAAAGACCACCGCCAGTGTTTGCTCCAAACATGCCACCGCCAGTGTTGGCACCTGAGCTCCACAAGCTCTGCAAGGCAAGTCATGACGCGAGTGGGATCGATCTACGGCATGTTCTTTTTTTTCTCCTACTTCATCGCCGGAAGACCGAAGAGACCGCCGCCCGTGTTGGCACCGAAGCCACCAAAGCCACCCTGCGGCTGCCCAAACATGGCGCAAGGAGCCTTGCGAGATGGTGAGCGACTTTAACGAGACTCTGATTCCATCCTGCCGCATACCGAAAAATTAACCAAGTGGCCTTGTCTTGCTCAGCAACGCTCGGCTCGGTTAAATCTATGGGCCGCTGAATGCGATGGCACGGTTTAGACAAGGTGGGTAAGTCTGCTCTTGTGTAGGCTTAGTGTGAATGACGGGTGCGCCACTCGGCGCGGCTGACGGGCTGCGTCTGGTCAACTGCTATTGCTACTTTAACGTGCGCCTCTATGACTGCGCCTAAGACCTAGTCCTGTCTGCAAGTCCTGTCTGCAAGGATTACTCAGTACGTCAACTGCCTTTGCGGTGTATGACGCCTGGCCGGCGCTTGAGCTTCGTTTTGTCTGCATGATGCAGCAGTGTGCGCAAGAACCACATGGGAGCTGGGAAAGCTGAGTGAAACTGCACAAATTTCAAATAGCTACTGAAATGCTGGAACCTGTCCGGACAGGTCGAGCCCTTCGAAAAGCAGGGTTCCATCAACCTGCGTAGGGTTGCGTAGGGGTCCAGAACAGAAGAACTTCTTAGAGGCAACAGCGCCTCAATTCCAATCTTGGCAAGCCCTTCCAGGAACTGGCTGCGTGACACTACCTCGGCTGGCCAGTGGCCAGCGTGACTCTCTGCATGTGGCTGCGTCACACGTTCCCCACACGATCTTCGGCTCGCAGCTCCCGATCCGTCTGAGTCCAGGAAGCCCCAGGCTTGGTCCAGGCCTCATGCGGACAAGACCTCTTCCACCTACCGCAAGCATTCCGTCAGCCGCATCACTCGCATCTTTGGACCAGGCTCAGGTTGGCCGCAACTGCCCCCTGTACCGCATGTGCCGCAAAACAGCTTTGCTGAAGGACAGCAGACCACCCCGAGCAGGCTGTCGTTTTGGTCTCTCTGCTTTTAAAGCGCATGCTGACCCCTACGCTCTGGCAAAACCGGACATGAGGCCTGCAAGTTGCAGGAAATGGAACAAACAACTTCCGTTTGCGGAAGCAAACTTGTGCTGCATGTCTTCTCTGCAGCATCCCCCAAATAACCACTGCAGTCACACGGAATCTATGTAGGCATCCAAGCTTCAGGCAAGCATCACCTCATCCAAGATAAGTCTCTCTCGATGCCATGTGGCTGCTGCGGCTTTGCAACGCTCTGCGCGTGTCGCGCTAGCAGAGCAAGGTTATCAACCTATGGAGTGGCCAGCAAGCATTCCCTGATTCCCAGGACGGCTGGCAGGATGTCAGAAAACACCCAAAGATGAACTAGGAACAGCAACAAGAATAAGAGAGGGAAAAGCGAATGCAGTCCAAAGTGACTAGCATGTCTTTGCTTGATCACCAGCGCTAGCTGACACTTCAAGTCACCAGCCTCCTGCAGCGACGGGCATTCTTGCTGGACTGCGTCAATCCGAGCAAAGCACACACAACACACTTGCAACCGACAAAGACATTCCTTGTTCTTGAAGTCCAACATGTTCTGCTTCACGTTCAGCTGCAGCTGTTGCAGTTTAACCTGCTGGCTGGCAGGTAACCGCACCAAGCGTGAGGCGTGAGTCTACAATGGCACTAGGAACAAGTACACTAAGAATGCCATTATACAAAATGCAACCTGCGAAGTAACAAGAACACAATGAGAAACCCATAGCCAGTAGCCAGCCTTTTCCTCACACTGCCTGTTCTGGCTACTCAGAAGGTCCATGGTCAACTTGAGCTCAGAGGCTTCCTTCTCCTGCAGATGCCGCTGATTTCCAAGTACTGGGCAGCATGAGAACTGGCATGGACGTTTTGATCCTTTGCAAGACAAACCATGCCCTCGCGAGCCTGGGAAATCCTACTACAGCTCATGAGGGACATGAAACGAGTCGTACCGTATCAGACGTATCCATGCACCCAGCTTCACCTGGCGCACTAAAATGCGGCGCATCTGCTCCAGCTGCATCTTCAAGTCCTTGCACGGCAACACAGTGACATGTGTGGGACGTTATTCATGCTGGAAAATGCGTCGTACGCAGTGGCATTATCATGCATGTCTACCCCTATTGCTGCAAAAAAAACAAGCAAACTGGCTAAGAGCATCCAAGGACACATGCACGTGTCCGGCACATTCCATTCGGTGACTCAATGATTCAACATATTATGACAAAAAAATGCTTAGAAAATTTCCCACGCAGCCAAGGCACCTGGCACATCAGCAGGTCTCTAGACATGCAACGGGCATGATGCGCACTTCGCTCATCATGGCGGCCGGTCCAAAAGCAGCCCGGGTTCATGCACCGCACGTGGAGCTCATTCAACAAGGAGCTGACTACCAGGCTTGGCCTTAGGCTCTGACCACAGTAGCCCATAATTGCAGCTAGCAGCTGTTTGAGCCCCTGCCCAACACATGTGGGATTCTCAAGACTAGGCGTAAAATTTTGGTGGTCCCAAGAATAAGGATTGTAGTTTTACTTTATTTGGGAAACTACCACATTCAAGCTTGGCAGCAGCAGCTGCTTTCCAAACGGAGCACGACAGGTCGGACACTGCGAAGCCTCACCAGGACATGCCTAGCTAATGGTGTTGTGGGCAGGCTTTACTATTATTACTATTACTATGACTAGTACCACTACCACTACCGTTTTTATTACTATTATCATTATTACTACTATCATTATTGAAACGGTGACTATTGCTAGTATTAGTACCATTATGGCAGTATTATTGCTATTAATGTTAATATCTTTCTTGCGTCTGCGTTGTGGATCAGGGCACCAAGGCCTCGCTGACTGCCAGTGCCTTCTCGATGCAACGCCGACAGAACACCTGAGAATTTCAGGGGCATATAGGATTTCTCACCGGGTCAAATATACAAGACTTTGCCACTTGGTACACTTCTCGGTTTGTGTATATAGCATTTAGGTTTCAGGGATATGTTAGGGATTCTAAGGATATCTAGGAATAAAAGAGGCTTTTTAGGCGTGCATCTCAGCGGCGCGTGCTATATAGGGCTCCCTAGGGGTTACAAACCAATAATGGAAAAGTGCACTTGATTTTTTATCCCTCAATCTCAAACTATGACCATTACGACGACGACTACGACGACTACTACTTCTACTTCTACTTCTACTTCTACTTCTACTTCTACTTCTACTACTACTACTACTACTACTACTATTACTACTACTACTACTACTATTCCTGCTGCTGCTGCTGCTGCGACTGCTGCTGCTACTCCCTCTCCTCCTCCTCCTCCTCTTCCTCCTCCTACTACTACTACTACCACTACTACTACTACTACTACGACGAATCCAAGGCCTGCCTTCTCCTGCAACTCCAGAGATGATGACACAAGCCGTCGGACCTTGACAATATGCC